GGTCACAATTCACTTTAAATGACTGACAGGCAGAGAAGGTTTTTGATTGGCTAAATAAGAGCGGACCGCACCCCTCATCTTTACTGCTGTCTACAGAGCCTAGAACTGTCAAACACACGTGTGATTTCTCTGTACGATAGTAAGGATACTATTTGTGTAGTATTGTATGATATTAAAATAAATTACTTACAGCAGTTCTAAGTAGACAGGAAATGAGTTTTACAGCGATGTATATATTAGTTTATGGAATATTTATCAATTATCAAATCAGTTGAGCAGCTCTTGCCCGGCATACACAAACATATTTATGTACACATATTATTTCAGATATAATCGTAACCAGTACAAGCTGATTTGACAGCCCCATCTGAGAGTGTTGAAATTACCCAATAAACACATATTTACACACAACCTGCGCAGGCCAGAATTACAGTAATGACTCTAAAGGTATATGATTGTAATATTAAGTACTAATAATAGCTTTTTGCGTAAAAACTTAAGGTTTGGAGTCAGAAATCGTCTGCCTGATGATGATGATGATGTTGATCCAGCACGCACGCGCCAGCTCTCGCTAGCTGTAACCGCGCTAACAACAACACAAATGAGCTGTCATTACCGTACGTCTCTGACATGTCGGTCCCACCGATGAAACCAATCAACCGGGCAAACGATACTCTTTATCCCCTTCTTCAGATAAACGCTATGCTCTGATTTCGTTTCTGTGCGCAGTGCTGGTAGCCAACAGGCTAACTGCTGCTAACGCCTCTCACCGTTTCCTGTTTTACAACACAAACCTGCGTGCTCGCGACACTGAACTGACGTCATGACGCATCTCACGAAACCTGTCATGATTCACCACACAATCAAAATAAGGAAATGAGAAATTACTTCATATATGAGAAATTTAAAAGCATTTCCAGTTAGGAACCGGCAATGAAAAAAAATACTGAAAACAGAAAACAATATAGAACTATTATTTAAATGGTTAAGAATTACAACAACATGAATGTGTTTGTTTGAACTGCTTTTATGCTGATTGAAATAAATAAAATATAGTATTGTATCATATTGTTTTTTACGTATCTACAGTTTATCTATTTACCATAATACATTACAAATACTATTACAGTAAATAAAAATCTTTTGTGTAAATTTGGGGAGTCACAATGCAAAAAATTGGCATTGGATAGCTTCATTTTTATATGAAAAATGTTGTTTATATAAAAAGAATGTTATATGTTTTTCTTTTTATGAACTGGACATGTTTTAGATGTTGTATTAAACATTTAATTATTAATATGACATATATCATTATATATAAAACACACACACACACACACACACACATATATATATATATATATATATATATATGAAAAACTTACTCCAATGTAGCTATATCAACACACGGTGGCAGTCTAACTCCACGTGATCAAAAATTTTCAGGTTTCTGCAGTGACGTGCTGTACTTCATCTAAAGCAATAAATATTTTTGATCAAAGATTAAAATATTGGCTACATTTTATTAATTTGTTTAATTCTATTTGTATATTTAATATATATTCAATTTATGCAGACAAGTCATTAATCAGCCAAGGATCACTGCTGTATTGGATGAGTGTTAAGATGTTAGAATTTCCTTTCTTAATAAAACTTAATAAAAGTGTTTGTTGCATGTCTTTGGCTTTGTTGATACCATTCTTTTTGAAGTGTGAGATACTGTCATCTTCCATTCTCTTCTGTCCACACATTCCTTCATGCACGCTTCGAGGGGCCCAGTGCACACGTCTTCAAAGCCCTTGTCACGGCGGACCGCCCAGGGCTCACAGGGGATAAATTACAGATCCCTGAGCCACTATCTACATGATTTCCTCCCTGCCTTTGTTCTTCCATGACAGATTCCCCAGCACGCTTTTTTGAAAGGTCTTTTTCTGCCAGAGATTAAAGGGACGGGGGAGAGCCTGCCGTATGGAGCACGGATGTTTTCTTAAAATTGTCTAAACTTTGAATGAAAGAGGCAGAAAAAGAGGTTGTTTTTTAGACCCCAATGCTTCATGGTCTGAAGGCTCTGCCGTATTCGTACTAGGCTGTAACACCATAACACTTTCATTGTTTAGACTATGAGTTCTCCCCTGTTTATGACCTTGGACAAACCTGTTAGTAGTACAAGATTAGGACCAGGTCAGTCAGCCTGTTCTGGCGTTTGTGTGTGTTTTACTGTGTTAATAAAGAGACATGTCAGGACATGTGCTGGAGGGTGAAAACTGCAGACCCTAAATTAGGCATATATATGCAAGCAGCAATAAACAGAGCCCAAATGTGCATCCTAGGTAGATAAAAGTCAGGTTCAGTTTTTCCTAAAGTGAAACCTCTCTCTCAGGTTTTTATTTCCCAAAATATGTTTTTTAAAAACAGCAACAACATGAATGGCAGTTTTACCCTGATATGTGAACTGGCATATATGAGCAGAATAAGCCTTTTTATGTATTTGTATAAGTTACCTGAAAACAAGGTGGTGGACATTTTGTGCCACTATACGGCTACTATTTTGTTAGTATGTTCAGTTAGTATAAAAATATTTATAATTAGTTAATGATATTTCCATTCCTTGTTGTATTATGTTTCATGTTTTGGGGCACATTCAATGTGAAAAATCCAGAGAGTGGCACTAAAAGCTAGTTACATTTTCTCAGAAACAGATGAATATGAAATTGTATTATATTGGTTATTGCAATTATGGTTGTATTCGGAAATGTCCAGTGAGTGGCGCTAATAATGCTCTGTTGCATTTGAAAATAACGTAACACCTACACTAAGCCCTATACCCTAAACCTAACCGATAGTTAACAAAAGCAAACGTGAGATAAAAAAGCATTTGCTAAAGCAACTGTGTCATTTCAACTTTGCTTTTATCTTTGAGTTCTTTGTTCATGTATCATGACTTGTGTTTTGTGGACTCACAAGAGATGCAGTGCTGCACCAGGTGAGCTACCGAGCAAGTTTACCATGTCAGAAAAGTGTGCAAAACATAAATCGCATGAGCTAACTCTATAACAATGACAAACAGTTATTTAATTACATATGAGCATGAACACACATCACTAAACAGTGGTGTGTTACTGCCACTAGTGTTCATTTAAGCTGGAAACTACAATGATTACGTAGTTTCGTTTTTGGAGTTTTACAAAAATGTATGTAGGGAAACATTTTTTCCAGGCTCCCTGTTGAAAAAACCAGCATATGCTGGTTAGGTATGTTTTGACGCTGGGATGCTGGTTAAAGCTGGTCCTTTGCTGGTTTAAACTGGTCCTTTGCTGGTTTAAGCTGGTCCTTTGCTGGTTTA